CCTGACAGCCTCAGCTGATCCTACCTGTAGCTTTGGAGCTGAAATGGCCTGTGAGAGTTAACCCGGGAGGAGGGACCAACATCCCTAAACTTTGAGGTTTTGTTTTTGATCTATAACTGGATGTAGGCCACTCCTAGAAGTACTTGACCTTGGGTGATGTAGCTATCTGCAGCTGGAGCAATTCCTGAAGGATTGATGAGGAATCTGGGTAGTGTGTTTCCATATTCACCCATTGCAAGTTTTTTTGCAAATTTTAGGACGAATATGTATGAATTCAGTACCTATCACAAGTCTTGATACAAAGTAGATCCTCAGTAATGGGCAGCATGTTGTTTTTATTATTGGTTCTGTCCTATTGAGAATTTTGATTATTTCAGAAAAGACCAATCTGTACACATAAGATTTATGAAAATCAAAAGCTGGAAGGGATATTCAGTCTTCTGGGAAAAAAGAATGAAATTTCAAAGTGTCCTTAATCAGGAAATTCTCTGACATCAGCAGTAGCAACTTTTTTCTAGATAGGTCTCTTGAGTCAAGATAAACAAAAACAAAAATAAACTATTGGGACTACATCAAAATAAAATGCTTTTGCACAGCAAAGGAAATAATCAACAGAACTAAAAGGCAAACTACAGAATGAGGAAAGATATTTGCAAATTACATATCCAATAAAGGGTTAGTATCCAAAATATATAAAGAACTTATACAACTCCACACCCAAAACACAAATAATCCAATTAAAAAATGGGTGGAAGACATGAACAGACATTTCTCAACGAAGACATACAGATGGCCAATAGGCACATGAAAAGATGCTCATCATCACTTATCAGGGAAATGACAGTTAAAACTACAATGAGATATCACCTCACACCTGTCAGAATGGCTAAAATCAACAACAAGAAGCAACAGGTGTTGGCGAGGATGTGGAGAAAAAGGAACCTTTGTGCCCTGTTGGTGGGAATGCAAACTGGTCCAGCCACTCTGGAAAATGGTATGGAGTTTCCTTAGAAAGTTAAAAATAGAACTATCCTACGATCCAGCAGTTGCACTACTGGATATTTACCTAAAGGATACAAAAACACTAATTCAAAGGGATGCATGCACCCTATGTTTATAGAAGCATTATTTACAATAGGCAAGATAGGGAAGCAGCCCAAGTGTCCATTGATCGAAGGAATGGATAAAGGTGTGTGTGTGTGTGAATATTATTTAACCATGAAAAAGAACAAAATCTTGTCATTTGCAACGACATGGATAGAGCTAGAGAGTATAATGCTAAGTGAAGTAAGTCCGAGAAAGACAAATACCATATGATTTCACTCATGTGGAATTTAAGAAACAAAACAAATAAGCAGAGTGGGGTTAAAGAGAGACAAACCAAGAAACAGACTCTTAACTGTGGAGAAGAAACTGATGGTTACCAGAGGGGAGGTGAGTTGGGGGATGGGTGAAATAGGTGAAGGGGATTATGAGTACACTTAACCTTGATGAGCACTGAGTAACGTGTAGAATTGTTGAATCACTATATCATACACCTGAAACTAATACAAAATTGTGTATTAACTAACTGTAATTAAAATAAAAATTAAAAAAGTGCCTGTAGGAGCGCCTGGGTGGCTCAGTTGGTTAAACCGCTGCCTTCAGCTCAGGTCATGATCCCAGGGTCCTGGGATCGAGCCCCACATCGGGCTCCCTGCTCATGCAGGAAGCCTGCTTCTCCCTCTGCCTGCCGCTCCCCCTGCTTGTGCTCTCCCCCTCTCTCTCTCTCTCGCTCTCTCTGTGTGTCAAATAAATAAAATCTTAAAAAAAAAAAAAAAGTGCCTGTAATACGTGAGTGGGTGAACTAATGAACAGAAACTCATGAAATGATACTCAACAGAAATAAAGTGTGCTGCACTTAGATTATTAAAGGAAGTGAAAGCGGGAGGGATAAAATCATTTGATAGTACAGAAAAATATGTGTAGAAATGTTCATAATGGCATTAGTTTTAATAGCTCAAATCAGAACTAATTTAAATGTCTACCACAGAATATTAAATAAATTATGGTGAATCTCTAGAATGGACTGTAATACAATCATAAATATTGATTTTGAATAATACTTAATTTTATAAGTGCTCATACCTTATAGAATGTTTATTAATAAACCAAAATATAAAATTATAGACTATTATAATTGTATAGAAATATTTGTATGCAAATTCATGGGGAAAAGTCTGGGGGAAATACATTGACTTAGTGGGGATATTTGGTTGCAGGTAACTTTAAATTTTCTTTATATTTTTACTTATTCCCAAATCTGAACAATATGTTTATTGTATGGTTGTTTTTTTCCACCTTGTTTGTTTTTAAGCATCTATGAAATGCAGGACTGGTTTAAGAGTGAAAAAGTCCAGGAAATTTTAGTTACATCTTGGTTCTTATTTGGCTTATAATTAATATGGCTTTCCCCAAAGTGCAATTTCAGTCTTTATTAACAAAAATACAGTCTAAAATGAAGAAGGCACTAGTTCTTTTATGCCCAGTTCTAGGTACTGTACCTTTGGGTAAACTTGAGCTGTTCAAATGAACCAACGTCTCACACCATATATCATATAAAGAATTGGCCATTTCTTTTCTTAGGAAAGATGTGTTGGGGGATTATTTAAAGGGAATTAAGGAGGGCACATACTGCATGGAGCACTGGGTGTTACACAAAAACAATGAATCATGGATCACTACATCAAAAACTAATGATGTACTATATGATGACTAACATAACATAATAAAATAAAAAAATTAAAAAAGTAACAGTGTCAGATAGAAGAGATACTAGGTTTTATTTATGAAGAAAGGTACAGGGAAACAAATTTTAGTTAAGGAAGACATTTCTAATTATTAGATGCCCCCCTCCCTCACAATGGCCTGACTTTGGTAGAAGTAAAAATATTATTTATTAAGCAGGATTTTTACACTTTCCTACAACATTCCTGTAAATAAGCCTTAAGAGTTCTGTAAATATTTAGACGGTATTTTAAAAGGTAAATACAAATAATTAAACTGTAATTTCAAAATAACATATTCACTCAAATGTTTCAAATACCAAATTTTAACACTTTGGAAATTAATAATGTGTTTTGGAGGTGCTGCTTAGTTGACTTTTTTTGTGCAGACCTCTGAATCAAGTTTTTGCCTGCTTGCTTAGGTTTTCTGAGTTCAAGGTCAGTTATTTATCAATTGTATCTCTGTGTCTCAGTGAATCAGGATTTTTATTAATACTCTATAACCAAAACAAAAATACAGAAATAAACTGGATGCAGAGATGGATATTAGATTATAATCATCTGTACCCTCTGATTTAAAGTTTTTATATTCATCAAAACAGATTCATTGTTTTCAGTGATTGATTTATTCAAACATAATACTACTTAAATTTGTTTTATGTACAGGAATCTTACCAGAAATTGTTTGAAAAAGTTGTCTACTGCTTACATGTTTGGAAAAGTCTGATATGGAGGATGGTCAAATCTACCTATAGAACATATTTTGAATCTTCCTCCTCTTTATTTCTCTTGCCTTAGCCCAAGCCATCATCATCTGTCATTCATACAACCTCAGAAACTTTGTTTGGTCTCACAGTTCCCACTTTAGCTCCTGTTACCCATTCTCTCCACCAAGCAGCTGGAGTGATCTTAAAACATATAAAGTAATATGTTCTTACTTAGAACCTTCCATTGTTCCCTTTCGTCTCTAACATCATTTCATACCCTTCGATTCTTTTCTGTCCCATAAATGTGCAAAGGTCTTTGCTGCCTCAGGATCTTCTTCCTTTATCTGGAATGTTCTTAATCCCATTCTTCACCTTGGTAACTCCTCATCCTTTATGTTTCAGTTTAAATGTCACCACCTTAAAGTAGAGGGTGAAAACTATGCCCCTTTTTATCACTCTGGGTTAGAAATAAGCATTTGACCTGACCTTTTATACTTCTCAGTGCAAGAGAACTTCCGAATTGGGGCAGAGAGAGGAGTATGGTTTCATCTAGCAGTGTCCTGCAGCATAGTAAGATTTTAGTCCATATTTATAAAGATATGAGGGCATGCTTCTGTTTCAAAGTAGGAGGAAGATGGGATGGAAGCCTGTTAAAAGAACAAAGGTGTCTTCTCTCCACCTAATACTTAGTGAAAAGTAGTATATTTAATTAGTTTTGGCCATTTATAAATATTTTATAAATCAGTAAAACTAGGCTGAAAGAGGTTAAATGGCTTGACCCAAAACAGTATGACTTTGTCATATGTATGTTATCAGTATGACTATGTCAGTGCTAGGCTCAATTCTGTTAAGTCCTATAAATCTACAATACTTAATTTGGAAGTAAAGAAAGAAAATACTATCCATGCAGAAACTGTAGTCACATGGAGAGCCATTTTTCACCTTACAGAAGTTGTTTCCCTGAAGCCTTACATACATGTAACGCCGCTTTTTAGTAAAGGCCAGGTGGAAAAATTGCCTTCTCCTTAGTTGAGATAAGGGTGTGACACATCTCTTGATGTGGTAAGAATAAAACTGCAAACAGGGTAGGTAGATTTTATTCTGTTCTTCGCTGACTCAGTTAAGGTTGTGTTCACCTTTAAATACCAGAAAGTTCTAACAGTAACTTAAAGAAATGGGAGAAGGACAGTTTTCTCACACAAGCCCAGATATGGCAGTCCAGAACTGGTTCAGCCGCTTCCCCGTCCCTAGTGGGTTGGTTTTTGCCCTCCTGCTTCTTACCACAGGGATAAAGCCATAAAAGGGCAAAGGGATATATATGCAGTCTTTGCTAGGTGGCACTTCTAAGAAAGTTTTTAATCACACTTCTTATGTCTCACTGGCCAGAACTGATCGCATGTCCCCTTGTAGATGGAAAATGACTGGGGAGACGGTGAATAGTGTCTGTCTTGTGCTCCCTCATTTAATGTCTTTTAGCATGATAGTCCAAGTACCTAATACCATACTAATAATGCATTGTACCTTTTAGATTTACATTGGTGCAAAAGCATACGGTGGAATTCAACCAAGTGGCAATGGCTAATTCAGATGGATCCGAAGCTATGCTGAACAGAGTGATGACAAAAGATAATATTGGTGTTGCTGTGGTATTAGAGGTCCACAAAGAACTATTTGGAACAGGTGAGTGCAGTTTAAAATATTCTTACTAAAAATAAACACCATCTCATGCTCTCTCATCTCAAGCGTACAGACTCTTATTTATTGCACAATTATTTTTTTTTGTCTTTGAGGAAAGTTAAGGGAGATGGGCAGGAAAATAGCACTAACTATGTAAACCATCATATATATATTTAGGGATATTACTTACCAGGTAATCTGTGAAAAAGGAAAGCCTTTGATATGCCATTATTTCAGAAAGGTTATTTGAAGTAGGAAATGCTTTAGTTAGGCCGAATTTGGAAGTTATGATGAGTTGGTTCTCTTTCTAGCCATATTTTTAGCTTCCTGAGTGTGAAATCTTTTGTCTTTAAGGTTAAGTACTTGGCAAGTTTCTCTAATTTTTTTGTTAGATCTCAGTCATTGTCAGGGTAAGAGCGGGATCTTTTATCTACCTGGTACTTAGCTTTTGCATTTTAGATTATTTATAGCTTCCTTCAAAGTCAAACTCATTATGTACTTTGCATATCCAGACCTTTTTTTCCCCTTTCTCCTGCCTGCCTTTGAGCATTTCATTGTTTACTTAACTAGTATATTTTAGGCAAGAGCAAGGAGAAGATGTTAAGACTACATTAGGGCTTTATTTTTAAACTTTTTTTCTGTTCTTACTGTAGAAGAAAAGATGTTTGCCTTGAGTATTGATTTGAATTATTCAGACCATGCCTATCTGTCAATCCTCTCCTTTTCTTTCTGTTATTAATTTTATCCATCATCAGATAATCTTTGATATGATATTTTAAATTTCTTCTTTTTTTGATCTTTCCATTTTTACCTACTTTTATGTCCTTTCCATTCTTACTTTTTTCAAAAGTTAGGTACCTTCTGGTAACATGAAAATTGAATTTCTTTTAGAGTTTTTTTCTTCTTTTAATTTTCAGAAAAGTAATTAGAAATTATACAGCAGATACACATAGCACATTTTGAAATACATCTCTTATTCCTACAAGAGGAATTTAATATTATAGAAGGTGCTGATGGCCCTGTTGTTTTTAATAGTTCTTAATATTTAATATAGTGAACATTTAATGTACAGCCAGAAGTGACACTGTAAAATTTCTAGGAAAAGAGTAGAGCATAGAGAATTTTGTCTATAAGATTTTATCTTGTCAAATTACTTTAAAAATGACTTTCTATGTTTATAAATTATATATCCAATAAGGGGTTAATATCCAAAATATATAAACAACTCATAAAGCTCAATAGCAAGAAAAATGAACAATCAGATTAAAATATGGGCAGAGTGTCTGAATAGACATTTTTCCAGAGAAGACAGAGATGGCCAACAAGCACATGAAAAGATGCTCAACATCACTAATCATTGGGAAATGGAAATCAGAGCCACAATGAGATACCACCTCATACCTGTTAATATGGCTGTTATCAAAAGGACAAGAAATAAGTCTTGGTGAGGCTGTGGAGAAAAGAGAACCCTTGCATACTGTAGGTGGGAATGCAAACTGGTGCAACCACTATGGAAAACAATATGGAGGTTCCACAAAAAATTAAAAACAGAAATACCATATGATCTAGCCATTCCACTTTTGGTATTTATCCAAAGAAAATGAAAATACTGACTTGAAAAGAGATATACACCCCCATGTGTATTGCATCATTATTTACAGTAGCCACCACATGGAAGCAGCCTAAGTGTCCATCAGCAGATGAATGGTTAAAGAAAAGGTAGTATATATACACAAAGAAATACTATTCAGCTATAAAAAAGAGTATCTGCTATTTGCAGTGACATGGATGGACCTTGAGGGCATTATGTTAGATGGAATAAGTCAGAGAAAGAGAAATATTGTATAACCTCACTTATTTGTGGAATCTAAAAAACAAATGAACAGAGACAGCAAATATAGAATTGCCAGAGGGGAGAGGGATTGGGGAGTGAGCAAAAAGAATGAAGTGGATCAAGAGGTACAAACTTCCACTTACAAATAAGTCATGGGGGTATAATGTACAGCATGAGGGCAGTAGTCATTCATATTGTAAAATGTACTTGAAAGTTGATGAGAGAGTAAATCCCAAGAGTTAACTTTATATGGTGACAGATGGTAACTAGACTTACTGTAGTGATCATTTTGCAATGTATATAAATATTGAATCATTATGTTGTACATCTGAAAGCAATATAATGTTATGTCAATTATGCCTCAATAGAATTTTTTATTTTATTTTTTTAAGATTTTATTTATTTGTCAGAGAGAAAGAGAGCACAAGCAGGGGGAGTGGCAGGCAGAGGGAGAGGGAAAAGCAGGCTCCCTGCTGAGCAAGGAGCCCGATGCAGGACTCGATCCCAGGACCCTGGGATCATGACCTGAGCCAAAGGCAGATGCTTAACCAACTGAGCCACCCAGGCATCCCTCAGTAGAATTTTTTAAAAATGACTACTCCTGTCACATGTAGCAGACACTTCAGTTACTTGTTTTTATATTCAACATTGAAGATAATTATATTTTAGTAAGGTAGAAGGAAACGTTATCAAAATAGTAGACTTAAAAAATTATGTCTTTTCTGCAGAGTTTATATTTTCAATAGAAAAATTGAAGACATTTCTATAGTTTTTTTTTGTCGTTTTAAGATTTTATTTAAATTCCAGTTAACATACAATGTAATATTAGTTTCAGGTATAGAATTTAGTGATTCATCACTTACATACAACATTCAAGTGCTCATCACAAGTGCCCTCCGTAATCCCCATCACCAATTTAGCACATCTCCACCCCCTGCTCCACCCCCAGCAATTCTCAGTGTGTTCTCTATAGTTCAGAGTCTGTTTTCTGGTTTGCCTCTCTTTCCCCCACCCCCCATGTCCATCCATTTTTTTTCCTTAATTTTTCCTTAATTCCACATATGAGTGAAATCAGATAGTATTTGTTTTTCTCTTATTTCACGTGGCATTATACTCTCAGACTTCATCCATGTCATTGCAAATGGCAAGATCTCATTCTTTTTTGATGGCTGAATAATATTCCTCTGTGTGTACGTGTGTGTGTGTGTGTGTGTGTGTGTACACAGACCACATCTTTATCCATTCATCAATAGGTGGACATTTGGGCTCTTCCTATAATTTGGCTATTGTAGATAATGCTGCTGTAAACACTGGGGTGCATGTATCCTTTAGAAGCAGTATTTTTGTATCCTTTGAGTAAATACCTCATAGTGCAATTGCTGGATCTTAGGGTAGTTCTATAGAAATTCTAGTAGAAAAATGAATTGTGCATGTTTACTAATATTGCAATAGTACAAAACTGTATAAAATAAAAAGTTCCTTATTCATACTCTCTAGGAGTAGCTCTTGCTAATTTCTTTACTCATTACTAACAGAGACTGTATGTGTAGTTTTATTTAAAAGGCCTCATACCATGCACATTGAGCTTTATGTTTTAAATATTTTATGGATGTCTTTCTCCGTACCTGTTAACCAAATTTAATTTTCACAATTTTTAATGTTTTCCATTTTGAAAGTTAATACTTTGTTAATACTTATTTTGACAAAATTTATAAAACAGAATTTTAGGGAGAAGAAAGAACCTTACACATTTTCTAGTTGAATATCTCACTTTCCAAATGAACCTGAGTACCAAGAAAGTTAAGTGACTGTCCCAACACCAAAATAAACAGTAAAAAAGCCAGGTCTAAAACCCATGTGTCCAGGTTTTGAGAGCACACTATTCCCTGTGTCACCTTTTTAAAATAATTTTATTTGGGTGTTTGGTATGAATTTGTTTTGGTAGGAAACTTCCTTCCTTCCTTAATTTGTATAAGTTAATATAGTGTTACTGCCTTTTATTGATCCATCACTGATGTGCTCAGGAAATGCAAGGTGAATGAGTACTGGGCAGTGGGAAGAATTTAAATAAAGGTTTAGGTCACTCAAATAACTGAAAACCTGCCTCACTAAGTAATTGTGATCTTTATATGACAGAGATATTTAAAGTGCTTGTTGACACTAAGAACTCAGCAAATCAAGGTACTATAATCAAATGTTAATTATATCATGATATAATTCTTCACTTGGGCATATAGAGCAGAAGTCGACAAACTCTTTCTGTAAAGGGCCAGATAGTTAATATTTTAGTCTCTGTGGGCCACATTCAGTCTCTGTCACAGTCTTTCAAAGAAATTTTTGTAGACTCCTTTAAAAATGTAAAATGAGGCTTAGCTCATACAGGCTGTACAGAAACAGGTGGTGGGCCAGATTTAGCCTGTGGCTAAAAGTTTGTCTACCCTGATCTAGAGGAGTAATTCCCATGTTGGGATTATCAGAATCTTAGCGCTTTAGTGTCTAAGAACTATATTACGAGATAAAAGGGAAGATACAAATTAATGGAAAAAAAATAAAGGGCTGTGGGTTTTTGGGAGAAAACCTTAAGATAATTGCTTTTTTGATCCATAAAGCATAATCTTACCCTCTTTTTATAATGTTTAAATTTAGGTATGAAGCCTATTCATGCTGCAGACAAACAGCTGCTTATAGTGGCAAATGCCCACATGCATTGGGACCCAGAGTATTCTGATGTGAAACTCATCCAGACCATGATGTTTGTCTCAGAGGTTAAAAACATTCTGGAGAAAGCCTCCAGTAGGCCTGGCAGCCCAACTGCAGATCCTAATTCCATCCCGCTGGTGCTATGTGCAGATCTTAACTCATTGCCAGATTCAGGTATTTATAACATCATTTCCTTATTGCTTTCGGTTTTGCTTTAACTTCTAGTTGAGGGGCTAGCTAACTCCCAACTTTTGAGTGGAGAATTTCTCTGCTAAATTAAGGGAGTGTATTAGTATGAATCCAGGGATAATAGGACATGGGGTAATTGAGAGTTTAATAAAGAAGCTATTTCCAAAAATGTGTACAGGGTTAAGGGACACAAAATAATGGGTGATGCAGTACTCTACTACGAAGGGAATTAGGGACCCTTTACCACACCTATACCTAAAGGTTTGAAAATGGTGGGAACTGTTAGCAGAACTTGGAAAAAGTAGTTAATAAGGAGAGGGTTATGTAGGAGGAGTGAAAGCTTGGAGTTAATTGATGCTATTAATCTCTGGCATCAACAAAGTGGGAGTCTCACTCTGCCTGCCGGTGCTGCCCATTGACCAAATCCAACTAGAAGGGAGAGTGGGAGGGAGGTTGCCGTTGATGCAAGTAAAAATCAGCCTTCTGAGGCACAGAGTGCAATGGAGAAGAGGCAGCCAGGAAATACTCAGCACGGGTAGTTTAATAAGGTTGGCAACTTTTCAGTGAATTCATTAAATGATAAATGAATATTGATAATTTGGTGCAGAAGACTGATCTGTATTCTCCTTGGATTTGACATTACTTCTTGAACTCCACTAAACTATTTTATGTCCTAACTTACATTATTTTAGATCTCTGTAAAAATTAATTCTGCATTTTAGATGTTAAAGTTCAAATGTAAAAACATTTAAGTATTACTGTTTTGCTATTACTGAAGCATATTTTAAATTTTTTATATTTTCAGTAAGCTATTTTAAATTGTTTAAAATAATCTCTCAACAATAAATGTGAAATAACCCAAATACTTGCAGTTGGAAACTCGTAAGTCACAAATCTAGAAAATATCTTTACTTTTTCTACTTAATAAATAAATGCTGAAATCATCCTTTTACAAATACTTGTCTTCAGCCCCCAGCCCAGTTGGCACCTTACCCATGTCTTCCTTTCTTAGTCCTTTTTTTTTGAGTTGAAATGCTCTCAAGTACAAGTTTCTCCCATTTCATTTTTTTTTTAAGCCGGTGAGCTGTCATTTGACAGCACAGCACAGCCTGGTGAGCTGATTATGGAGCCAGACTGTCAGGGTTGGATCCTGGTTCTACCACTTACAAGTGCAATCTCCAAGTTCCTCATTTTTAAATAAGGGGATAATAATTTCATCCACCATATAAAGTTGTTTGTGAGGTTTAAGTGTATAAAGCACTGGAGACAGTGCCTAGCGTGTAGTAAATGCTAGATAAGTGGTAGTTGCTTTTCACCTGTTCACAGTACTGATAGCTGTACTCATCACTCAACTCATGATATGTTGCGGTCATTCCTGATCACAGATAGAGATGGCGAACAGTGTTCACTGATCATCATCAGAAGGGTTGTGATATATTTTCATGTTTGCCTGTTAAATGGAAGCAATGTATTTTTTGAATGCTTCTACTCTTTTTAGCTTTTTATACATATCTAATGTTTTTGACCAAGTAGCATATAATGTCCCTTATAGTATGAGCCTGAAAGAACCTCACTGTAGTTCAAAATAAAGAATATTTTCTACCTAACCTAGACATCGAAGTGTTGAAGATGCAAAATCTATTTTTGTTGTAAATGACTTTTTATTATGTATGCTATATTTTACATTTTCCCAAAGTTGTTAATTGACGGCATAGAATAGTGAAATACTAATGAGACATAGTGGTTTAGGATAATATTCTAAAAGCTTTTAGGGTTAAGACCTTGGTGAATGCCACCTTGGGCTCAGGGAATCATCTTTAGCTTGAAGTATCATTAAGAAAACTGAAGATATTTCTGGATGATCCTGATACTTTGTTCCTGAAGGCAAATACCCTTCAGTTTGATTTAACCATATGAAATTGTTGGTGTTTGGTGTTTTGTTTTGTTTTTATTTTTTATTTTATTTTATTATTATTTTTTTAAAGATTTTATTTATTTGAGAGAGAGAGAATGAGAGATAGAGAGCACGAGAGGGAAGAGGGTCAGAGGGAGAAGCAGACTCCCTGCTGAGCAGGGAGCCCGATGTGGGACTCGATCCCGGGACTCCAGGATCATGACCTGAGCCAAAGGCAGTCACTTAACCAGCTGAGCCACCCAGGCACCCTTGTTTTGTTTTTAAACAGTGACAACCACAAAAAGACAATTGCATATGGCTCAACCTAATTAAACCACTCCAAACCTGGTATATCCACCTGACAATGAAATTTTGGTCATAAAGTCTTATATAAGGTCTAAATCTAAATGGTAGAGTTTCTTCCTTCTTTATTCTACTAGGTGTCGTGGAATATTTGAGCAATGGAGGAGTAGCTGACAACCATAAAGACTTCAAGGAACTAAGGTACAATGAGTGTCTTATGAACTTCAGCTGCAATGGGAAGAATGGAAGCTCAGAAGGGAGAATCACACATGGCTTCCAACTGAAGAGCGCCTATGAAAATAACTTGATGCCTTACACCAATTACACCTTTGATTTCAAAGTGAGTGACAGCCTCGGGGCTGATAGAGAAATTACTTCAAATATAAACATAGGACAAGAAAGATATATTTTTATAATGCTTACTTGTATAATCTTCAAGCATTTTTAGATTCTCAAAATGTCTTGACTAAGTATGCTTCTAAATGTCAGGAGATTTGTTAGCTTTGCTTTTTGTTATTATTGATTTGAGAATTTTTTAAAACCCTCATATTTCCACATTTCAAGTAATATTGATAAATAGCAAAAACTTCCTAAACGCTTACTGTGTGCCCGGCACTGTTGAAAACACTTTATATTTATTAATGTAGTTAATCTTCACTTGTCCATACCATCCCTAACTTTCAGTAAGGATCTGAATAATAAATAACCTGTTACGGGTATATGGGTAAGTTCACCTTGAATGAATTTACATAATAGTGTCTCAGAATTTTCTTTGTACTATTGATGTCTTATTTATCTTTAAATTTTCTAAGTTTCTTTGGGAGATGGTTGTACTTAGGGTCTATTTTGTATATATATAAATATATATCCATGTAGTCATATTAATATATTCCCAGGCTGTGGAACATTCCAGCTTAATAAAAGGAAAAAGATATTTTTTCAAAATAAAAAAATTTAGAGGACCCACTGTTCAAGACAAATTGTTCTTTAGAAAGATTGAATGTAGTGGTTTTCTGTAGGTAAGATTACTTTCCCTTTGCCAATTATCTGATCGGTTAGCTCCTCCATTGTACTTCTGACTTTCTGGTATTTCAGGCATCTATACTAAAATCTTAAACTATCTTGAAAAAATGCAGATGTTAGAAAGTGGTATGATGTAAGAAGCCTAGAGGGAATATAATAAAAATACCAAAGGAAGTTTTCAAAACGGGCTCTTCACATCTCCAATAACCCTTTTATATTTTCAGTGCTTGTTAGCCCCTTTCTAAGGAACAAATAGGAGGAAGAAGGGAAATTTGTGTGATGTTATTCGTCAACTTTCATGATCATGAAGTGGAGGAAAAAATTGCGTAGAATAAATTGAATCTAATTTTAGTATTTTTGCTGTTAGAGTAGATAATACTATCCCTAGTGATAGTTCGTTTTATTCAAATCACTCAAACACAGTAATGTGCTGCTAGATATTTAATAACCAGCTTCCTGAGAAAAAGAAACGCTAACTTGCGGTGTTTGCTGATTTCTGTGTGTAAGTATTCCCAATGTGGTAGATTTCAAGCTCCCAACATAGTACCATTGAATTCAGAGTGGAGATGAGGCACTTAAGAAAGCAGGTACCAGCCGACTGTAGCACAGCACTGCTGTCGTGCAGCCTTAGAGGAAAACCTTTAGACTTCATGATGCACAGTTTACTGTAGGTTAATTCCTATCCTTGTGACTGTAGTGGTATGTAATACATCTCTGCCAGCACAACCCAGAAAATCTAAATTAAAGTTCCCTAAAAAATAAGTTATTGTTGTTTTAGTATGGGTGTGGTTAAAAAGACCAAATCATTTCTACCTCATCTAGGCTTTGATAAATGTTATTTTTCCTTGTCCATCAGTGGAAATTGGAGAAACAAAATTGGGAATATTAATCTGAGCCATCTTTTTTAACAATCTGAACTGTTTTAAAATCCTTTGTTGATAGTGAATCAAAAATCTTACTGAACCATTTACATTGTCCAAAGAAGTACAGGTAAAGAACCAAAAGGGCATGACTCAGACAGTGTTTGATGTTTGAATATGTAGGATAGGATGAGACAGAAGGACAGAGCTATAAATCCATGAGAGACAGGTGTGTATGGGAAGATAAATATACTGGCTGGCCCGATAGATTGGGGGGGGGGAGGGGATGGAAAGACAGGATGACCAGAGAATAAACTATGGGCATATGTAACAACAGAGAATGAAGCTTTTAGTCCACATAACAGTGACTGTTTTCAGTTTTATGTAAAGCATTTTATGCCATCCCATTATTGAAGTCAGTCAGTAAAAGAAGGATAGGTAATATCAAATATAAAAATGTCATGTAATTAGCATTACATACAGATCTAAATACAGTGTTCTGCCATTGCATCAGTAGAGTGTTGTTAAGTTTTATTCACTTGGCTTAGCATTTGTTTACCTTCTTGGTCCTTGAATAATTTAGAAATGTAGAAAAGTGATATTTAGAATTCAGATTCCCTTAATCTAGAACTGATTTGGAAGATACCAAAGGGTGGGTAAGCAGGAGTATTACTTGTAGACCAGGTGTCTTCAGAATACCTAACAGAATATGGGCTGTAGACTGTGTGACTTATAAATAACAGAAATTCATTGCTCACAGTTCTATAGGCTGGAAGTGTAAGGTCAGGGTACCAGCATGGTTGGGTTCAGATGAGGGCCCTCTTCCGGGTTGCAGATAGTCACATGGCAAAGAGTCAGAGCTCTCGGGGGTCTCTCTTTATAGAGCACTAATCCCATTCTTGAGAATGCTACCTTGATGACCTCATTACCTCCCCAAAGCCCCACCTCCTACTTCCATCATGTTAGGAGTTAGGATTTCAGCATGTGAACTTTGGGGGGACAGAAACCTTCAGACCGTAATACCGGATACCTTGAATTAACAGCTTAATTCAGACTTTTCACTGCAGCTCCTCCCCCTCGCCCCAGTCTAAGGGTGTGCCTGAGCCAGTTAGTGAAGAGAGGAAGGACTCTTCTCCTGTTTTGTCAAGAAGTAAATCTTTCTCTTTTACATTATGAAATTTATAGTATATAATTTTCTTAACATTCTTTTATAAGACAAAACTTAGCATAATGCCAGCTCATAAACTATTTTCATTATTTTTACTTTTTTTTCAAATACAGTTCCTATAGACTTATTATAGAATTTCCTAATATAAAGACTATTTTCCCACAGTGTAGCTTTTTAAAAAGTTTGAATCAAAACAAGGTTAGGAATCATTAGTCTAATAACCTACTTTGTGGATATGACAGTATATAAATGTAAATACATACGTACAGATATTTGGGTGAGTTCGTAGATACGTCCTTGCTAAGGGTTTTAATAAGAGCTTTTACTCTGGATGTTTCACACTAAGAAAATAGTTAAGAAGTGATGCCTCCAATTAAATACATCTTACTTTCTAGAATGTTTAACATCTTCTTGGGGCCTGTGTTTGCAAAGGATTCTGTAAGTCTCGCAGCTCGTGTGCATAATGGCACTCTAATAAAGTGATACAGGAGGTTTATTCAACCTAAGTAACAGAGTATTTCACTTGTGTTTTGTTTACTTTATAGTTGAAGCACAGGGTGGTCTCATAAAGGCAGATAAATCCACCCTGACCCTTGTTAACACTTTTCCTAAAATGTCACTGTAAAACTGGGCATTAGCAAAAATGAAAGGATAATACCTTGTACTAATACCATTTCTTAACTATTTGGACTTGGAATATTAATGGCAGAAAGTCCTTTCTTGGATTCAAGTAGGGTACCCTATTCGTGGCAAGGTTAAGGTTTCTAAATGTTGAATGAGGCCTTCTTCCTGATTGACATAACATAATAAAATAAAATTTAAAAAAATCTCATTATTTTGGTCTTGGTTATGTCAAAACCAACAAACTTGAGATAATTATTTCCAAATTTCATAATATACATTTTTTTCATTAAAAATTTTTTCTTTTTTTTTAAGTAGCCCATTTCATTGTGATAATATTTAAAATATTACTGGAACTCATTATGTGTAGCATTTCTAAATAGATACTTCCAGATCTGGAAATGTTTCTCCACACTTGGGCTCAGGCTTTCTTGACATGGATAGGAAGAAATTTGACTTTCTCCCCTCCTCCCATTTTTAAGTAGGCTCCATGCCTGGTGCTGAACCTAATGCAGGACTTGAACTCATGACCCCAAGATCAAGACCCTGAGATTAAGACCTGAGCTGAAATCAGAAGTTGGATGTGTGTGTGTGTGTGTGTGTGTGTGTATGTGTATGTGTATGTGTATCCCTGCTGAATATTTTTTTGCTAAGCAATCCAGAATTTACAGTGTACCAGAATTTGTGAAAATGAGAACACATTGTGAAAAAGAACACATTAGAAAAATTAACTGTGTGTAGTATTTTGTATGTATGTAGCATATCTGGGAAAACAACTAGAATTGGCAAATCCGAAAACATGCTTTACCATGGCTTCATTCAGGTGTGTTTGGTTATCTTGATGTGCAAATAATTGAAAATAATGCCAGTTAACATTAAAAAGTTAATTTGAGTCATACCTTTTTGTTAAGCATTTATATAAAAACAGCTTGTTGTAACTGATACAGTGTAGTTCCCATAATGTTTATACTGATGTATTAGATTTCACTAACCTAAGCAAGCCATTTTTAAAAGATGCCTAGACATAATTTGGTGTGTTTAGCTTCTCACTTTGCTTACACTTAGGGACAAATGCAGGGCTTTATGACTCTAGTAGGGTCCTGTATTTCCCTATTGAGCCATCTTTATTTCATGTAATACCTACTGAAGACTTGAGTCCTATTTGACCTGTTGTCAAGACAACAGGTACCAAAAGTACAGGTTACTCAGGTATTTGGCTTTTACAAATAATGGGTTGTTCTTTATATATCTTGAGTTTTTCTTTCTTTCTAAGCATATATTTTTCTTTTTCCCCAACCCCTAATCTCTTTCCAGGGCGTGATTGACTACATTTTCTATTCCAAGACTCATATGAACGTGCTTGGTGTCCTGGGGCCTTTAGATCCTCAATGGCTGGTTGAGAACAACATCACTGGGTGTCCACACCCTCACATCCCTTCAGACCACTTCTCACTGTTAACACAACTTGAACTCCACCCTCCACTTCTGCCTCTTGTCAATGGTGTTCACTTGCCTAATCGGAGGTAGTGGAGTACTGCCCCGCAAAGACGGGGGGATCTGTTGCTATGGACCTGTATAGTTGTAAATCAAAGTATGTAGGAGTGAAGTATGGCCATCCTTAAGCTGCTTCTTCAGGTTCCTTTCATTATGTGTTTGCTCTAAGATTTTGTACATTTTTGTGCATATTGGTATCATTTGGCACTAGGGCTGGAACCAAAGTATTACTCTTTCCAAATTTTTAATTTAACATGTTTTTAAATTGGACCTTCTTCATATTATATTAGGAGTCAACATTCATAAATAATAAATCACCAGTTCAAGGCCCAACAAGAGTGTTTTTCCAAAACAAATACTTTCTTTTGAATGGTTTCAAATGAGCCAACCATTTTTGTAAAAGAAATTTTTAAAAACTATAAAGACGACACTTTAAACTGAATGATGGCATGCCTTACAGGAAAAATTTCTTGGATTTCTGTTTTCCATTATAACAAACTGATTTTTGGCTCCCCAAGTCTTTTGCACATTAACAAAGCACTTAAATTTGCTAGATCTGTACATAAACTATGATACAGCCTTTAACCATAATATGAAAAATAGAGAAATTAAAGATGGTTGCACAATATGCTTTCGAAATCAAACATTCGACAGCACATGACAGTTTGTTGGGCAAGTGCTGGTTATTGTTGGTTTTTTTTTTTTGAGGAATCACTCTGTATTTAGTTCCTCTATTAGTTATAACCTCATTAGAAGTATTAATTTTAAGCCTTTCTCTCCAGTTTATTTATTGGGAAACAGTGGGTAATTTTTACTGCCACACATCTTGAAAATAGAATTTGTTATATTTAGGATGCCCACAAAATTAGTGTCCAGTATTTTTCATTATTCTCATCCACCTTTTTCTGCCTGGTTGTGCTAGAGAAACAGGTATTATATGATCTGTATAATAATTTTTGCTGTTATAGTCAAATGTTTTAAAAACAAACAACTACTGAATGAAAAGGCCCTGATCAAAGTTTTAAAAGGGAAAAGCGATACAAATATCTCATTTGTTTCCTGAAGTAGGACAAGTGGCTATTGGTTTTGGCTTTTTGAAGTAACAATGGAAAGGATTTGGCGGGGGGAGAGAACAGGGAGTAGCTGAAAACCTCGGATCATTTTTCCTGACTCTAGTTGCCAAATGGCCATTATATGCTTTTAATCTTTGTTTCCGTTGTCTGTCAGGGTTGAATTAAGAAGCTACTGGTTTATTCCCAACTGTTGATGCTCTTTAGAAATGTTGGAATCCTTTTTTTGCCCAGGAGGGGCCAGTTGAAAATGTGTGACTCAAGAGGCAGTTAACGTAATACCGTTTTCTGGGGGAAAAATTGGTTGGCTACTTGATGTTAATTATGGCACAGTTAACAGGAAAAGGTTGTGTCTGTGTTTTTAAGTTTTTCTTTATTCTGCTTTTTTGCTGCTATAAGAGTTTTCTGAAATTTATATTTTAAACTTTTCATGCACTTTACTGTTTCTAGTCTCAAAATGTGATATTTTTAATAAACAAGAAATTTTCCATTATGTGAATGAAATTTTAAAAGAAAATAGCCTATATTTGTGTCTCACTAATATATAAAGTACAGGTCAAATTTAAATTATTTAATTAGTTTTAAATATATACAATTTGCCTCTTCTTTCAAACCTAACATCTTAGGCTGTTTTATTAGTCTTAAATGATGCATTTCCTTTGGTCATTTTATACTAATTTCTTCCATAGTAAATTAATCAGGCTATATAAGATAATATTTCCCCAGAAGGATAATTTTAGTGGGACGAGGGTGGTGGGATGATGTAATGTCATAATGGGATTGCATCAGAAGGGTTCTGTAAAGCCTAAAACTCCCTTTTAAAAGTGCCTAGTGATAGAGGCGTTGTTTGTCATCTATTATAATTGGAATGTCATTGTCGTTGAGTGAAGTTTGATGTAAATAAAATATTCTTTTAAAAATGGTAAAGTACCAGAATAAACAAACAAATAAACAACCCTTAAGGTGACAGATTTTCCTCAATGTGCAGGTATCCCTTCTTATATACCTCAAACATTCAACATCTAGCCATGCAAATTGATTACCTGAACCATAGTACTGGAAAGTAGAATAGCATGAAAAACTTAATTTTGTGGACATTACCTTTTTTTGTAATCAGCTACTGTATGTTTTATTTGAAATCTTTTGTTTTGGGTGGGTTTTCTGCTCTGGAGGTATATGCACTAACAAAACATTTTCCTCCTTTCATATACGCATGTTAATTAGCAATGTGAGCAATATTTCCTACCATACTTCACTCCCAATATTTTTTGAGATGTTTGTATAAAATGGAATTTAAAGTTCACTTATGATTGTATATGAACCACAGAGGAGCCCATTTATTAATAAAAAACTTTTTTAATAGTTAAATGTAGAGGGGAAAAAATAAAAAAAAATTGGGAAACATTGTAAACAGCTTAAGTTTATTTTGTGTATGATCGAGGCACTCTGTTGCAGGAAGGTGTGTAATTGGGTTCTCTCTGCTTCCAAATGCACTCTTTCAAACCATTCATTATCCTGTGTATTTTTAATGTGGTTTTAGTAAATGTTGGTAGTAGCTCTGTTGAAGTAGGTAATTGTGTTATGTTTTGGGTGGCACACACACTTGGGGCATGGTAACCCAAATTTCATGTGCACGGTTTCCCTTTAGCCCACTGCCCAAATTTCACACACCTTTCACCCTTTGTTCCCTTTGTAAAAGGAGTGGTATCTGTTTTGAGCTGCCAATTCAGATGATCAGAAATGCTGCTCTCCTCAGTATTGTCTTGTTAAAACGCATGCCATTTGGAACTTTGGCAGTGAGAAGCCAAAAGGAAGAGGTGAATGACACACGGTATATAGTCAATGAAAGTAAATATTTATGCTTATATACTTTCTAGTTCTCAGAATAAGTTTAATAAGCTTTATGTCATAGGGCTGCTGCATATTTTATCTGAAGTTAGGAGAAAATTTGGGCATTTTTAGGTTGTGATAATGTGGTTTTTTTTTTTTTTTAACTGTTAAATATGATTTCTGGTACTTGTCTAAGAACTGGAGTGTTCTTTAAATTTATTAAAACAGTGTTGTTTGAGGAAGGGAAAACTGCACTGTTTGCTATTACAGCAGTCATACAAGTGCATGTCAAGTCACCCACTCTCTCAGGCATCAGTATCCGCCTCATAGCTTTACACATTTTGATGGGGAATATTGCAGCATCCTCAGGACTGACATCTGGGAAAGGCTCAAATCCACTTACTGCTCCTTGCTTGTTGACTTTGTTTTAAAATATTGTGCCTGGTGTCAACTTTTAAGCAACAGCACTGCCTAAAAGCAAGCAGAGAACAGAATCCCAGCACCATTCTATAGGCAACTTTTTAGAATTCAGATAATAGTAAATCTGTTCAAGATTTATGATGTTTTATGTAAAAAAAATTTTGTACAACGTAGCTGAATATTTTTGTTTCATTTCTTTGATGTAAGGCGTGTGAACGTTCGTTTGAATATCACATGTAAAAGTCAGGTAATGGCACAATGGGTTTTGAGACCAGCTTCCCTTCCCCCCCATTTGCCTTGTTCCAAGCTCTTTCTTTTCGTATTACTTTTCTGATATTCATAGGCAGATATTTAATTTTACTAATAAGCATCCTGTGTGAATGTATTAAAGAAGCCACTGTGTTTTAGTGTTGTAGTTTGCAGAAATATAAAGCTTCATTTCTTACTTGTCCCTATTATTTGGTGTGTTATGGTTATGTATTGAATCACAGAGAAGGGAGAAAGCTGAAAGATACCTAAGGCTCGTATCACTTGATTCTATGGTGGGTTGTATTAGAATTGAGGATGTGGCACATTAAAACTGGAACATGGGCAAACATAACTGTGTTCCATTTTAAAATTTTATCTCCTAAGTATCTGTTGTTAAGTGGGTGAAAAATTGTTTGTATTTGCATTTCCAAGAGTTTCTAAAAATCACAAATGCCATCTATACTTCCAAATCAAATAGCAAGAAGTAGAGAAAGCACAAGACAAAATAGGTTAAGTAATGTTCTTTGATGGAACGAGAGGCATATGGTTTTCATTCCTAATACAGAGCTAGGTTTTCTAGCAAATTGATTGTGTCCCAGTACTTACAGTACTTATTTGTTTTTAAGTCTTATATTCTGAGAGATTTTAATAGCTTTGTAAAATGCACTGACTGAGCAGTAGCTTTGGTCACAGAAAACATAATCAGTTTCTGATACATTTGGCAGGCCATAGAATAATGGTTATATAGCAAGCAGTGACTTTATGGCACGTTTTCAAAGTAGTACTCATATATACTTATATTTTGACAGAAATGTGAATTCTCACGTTTTTAAGGTACTCTCCGACCTGCCCTCCCCTTTAAAAAAAAATCAACTTTCTAATGTGTAGATGTTTAATCTTTTCCTTCTGAATTATATCATGTTTGTAGAACTCTGAGAATTACAGGTAGACAAATTAGCTGGGAAAAGTAGAGTATTTTTCTAAGCCAGGAACTTCAACTAAAGTTTTCAATATGTAGACAGATGAGAACTTTTATACTTATGGTTGCTTTGAGTGATTTTAATTGTTTTAAGGCATCATGATCACCAAATTCAAATTGAAACTTAAGTAAATTAGTGCATCTTTAACCTGGCTTATTTACCAAAGTTGTAATCTGTTTAAGAACAGGATGCCAAGAGCATCTTTCATTTTACAGAATGATTTGGAAATCTGTGTTGTATAAGTGTCATCCTAAAGCTTAAGGGTAAGAAGAAAAAAGAAAGCTCTTATACATATACTGCAGGGTGTTCTGAATAAGATCCACAAAAAGAAAACAAAAAATAGTTCTTTTCAGGAAGGTGGTAAGGGAGAGCATGCATGTTTTCTTATTTTAACCAAATACCTTCTTTATGTAAGTTTCTCTGTTGAATTACTCAAGTCCTACGGCAAGAAGTTAGGGAGATATTAGGAAAAACAAGCTTTGTTAACCTACTTAATAATTTCTTTTGGCATAAGTTTGTTTGGGTTATTCTTGGAACCAAAGGAAAACAAGCATGTTGGGGCTTTATTCAACATACATTATGACATTGAAGTAATGGAATGTTTTTAAGTAAAATAGATTTTACTTTCAAAGCATATGAAATAAGGACATTTCTGCCTATTAAATGTTCATTTTTTTATGGCACTTAGTATAAACTCAGTAGCATTGTCCCCAAATTAGAAATTGTGTTATCAGAAACCATAAATCACATTTTGAAAAGGGTATGTAAATGCCAAATGATATGACTCTTTTGGGCATAGTAGCTTGGTACATGCAGCTTTCAGAGACTTTGAGAACGCATAGTTTGGCACCTATTAGTAGTACTTTTTGTTACAACAATCTCTCCAGATTTAGATAATTTTCCTACTTGTATATCTGTCACTTTTAAATCTAAAAGCATAAGAATCATGATAACCCTCTCAGAAGTGGTCCTTTCTTGCTCGTTTCAGTTTTGTGTTAATTTCTAGTTACATGACATAACTGTATTTTCTTTGATGCTATCAATGGTTATATGTACCACATTTGTTTAATTATCTTAACTCACACAATTGGCTCAGCGTTGATGTGTCAAACAATGGCTTTGCTTCTTAACAGGCTTAGTTTCCTACTACTTGTTTCAGTCTTGATACAATAAGTGATGCAGTAGTCTGGGTGTGTATGTATTGAGAAGCTGTACTGTTCTTTCTCTGTGCTTAACTTACTAAAAAATATATTCCCTTACCTGTGAAATTCCTGAGCGGTGCTCTGCCAACTTTTTTTTTGGCGGGGGAGGAGTTTGGATGGCTGTATTACTGCACACTGGATCTGGAATTGTTCAGTGTTGTGAGTGGCAAATTTCTTAAACACCAGCAGCACTGAGAAGTGCACTATGGGCATTCGTACAGTTGTCCAAATGCAAGCATTTCTTTCATCTAGGAGAAGTTGAGAATTAGCGTTCATTGGAGTACTTGGAATATTTTGAGGAGGATGAGCATTTCAAACTTTGGCTTTTTTTTTTTTTTTTTTTACCTCTGGATGGGTGGTATGGAGGGAGGTGTTTTTTGTTTTTTGTTTTTTTAAGAGAAAGAGTGTGTCTGTACCTTCTCTTTCAAAAAGGCCAGGGTGTTGGTCATATTCACTATGGTTCTATTGTGATTTCTTTCAACCATAAAACAAGTGCCAACTGAATGTCCATGAGATGATCTACTCTTCAACTCAATTTACCATTTGAATAGGGAAGGGTTCATTTATTTTCATTATTTGGCATTAAATTAATAATTCATTGTTTTGCATACATTTGAGTTATTCTGTGGCCTATAAAGTGTTTTTGTAACTAATGGTTGGAAAGCAAAGCACTTCAGTTTAAAACTTAGCAAGATATTTTGGTAATTTTTCCCCTGAATACTTGGGAATTTCTATTGATATTATTCCAGAACAAATTCTCCTGTTTCAGGTTGTATATTTACTTTGTGTTCGTCCTGAGAAAAAGCCAAGCACTAAATCAATTTGTTACTGTGTTCCAGTAATCAGTTTAAAATCTAAGATTTTCTTTTTCTTTCTTTTTTTCATTCATTCTCTTTTTAATTAGAAGACGTGATGAAGTGCCATGTAATTGTAGCTTACTAGTGTTTAATGTTTAATAGACTGGTTCTGTGGTGGTTTAATCATTTAACTCTCTGTCATCCTTGGAGAAGGTGGTTCTGCT